GAGGGGGGGGAGTCACCGGGATGGAGGACCCCACCAGGCCTCCCTCTCTCGCCACCTGCCCCGGCGGCGGCGGCGGGGACGGCTGTTCCGCAGCGGGGCTGTTCCGCAGCGCCGCCTCCTCCTCCTCCTCCGGGAGGTGCGGGAGGCAGCGAAAGGGCTTCCCGGAATACGGTGGCGGGGGAGGGGAGGCCAGGCCAGGCCAGGCCCCGGGGGCAACGGGGCAGGTCCCGGCCTACGGCGGAGCTTTGTGCCGCCGGGGAGCCCCGGGGGCTGCGGTGGGGCCGGCCCGGGGCAGGGCGGCGTGTGCGTGGGGAAGGCGGGCAGGCACAATGGCTGCGGGGATGGGAGGGGGGGTGGGGGGGGGGTGTGTGATTAATTTTTATTATTTTTTTTTTCCCCTTAAAAGAAAAAATAATAATAAAAAAGAGCTGCTCGTCCATATAATCCGCTTGGAAAAGGGGATTCCTGGTGTAGTGGGGGAAAGAAATTGACCTAGTGGGGAGAGGGGAGTTTGCTCTCAGAGTGTGTTGGTGCTTGGGGTGTGCAAACACCAGGAAAAAAAAATAAAATCCCTCTTCATAAGGCTAAAGAGCATCTTTTCCCACCTACCTTCCAAAATCACATCCCTACCCACCATGCAGGTTTCTGGAGGACTTCTCTCTTAACTGTGCAACTGATTCACTGGTTTTTTTTTTTTCCCTAGAATCAACTAGTTTGTTTGTTGTTTTTTTTTCTACTTCGAAGTGACTTGGCAAATTTCTATCAGTCATCATATTCGTGGCTGAGGAGGGGAGCACAACAGCTACATGCAGCAAAACTTGTTTTTTGGGACAGCAGAGATTGTGTTGAGGCGACCCATTGAAAACTTCCTGATCCCAGTTGCTTTGCATTAAGCTGCTCAGTTTATTATTCAGAATAGACCTAGAGTATGAAAGATGTACTTCAGGGGTGAGGTGGCTAACCATTTTTTGGTGTTCAGTGTGTGTTCTCAGGACAAGCCAATTTTCCAGGTTTTTTTACGTAAATAGGAAAAAATGGAATCTGAGAAGAAACATATTTTAAATGTATTAGTTACTTGATAGGCCTGCAAAATATAGCCAAACTTGTGTTCACTATTTATAATCCCCTATAAGTCAATATCATGAAGTATATT